GTCAAGTTCTCTACCTTGTCAAGTTCTCTACCTTGTCAAGTTCTCTAAGAATCTTTTACATTTCAGTAAGGTCTCATTCTTTTAAACTTCACTTAGTAAAACCCCAACCTCTCCTCATGAGACAGTCCCTCCATTCCCTGGATCAACTGAATGAATCTTCTCTGGTTTGGATGTGTACCACATTGATGAGATTCTAGGTTTCAGAGGTAAATAGTTCTCCTTTTCTTCCAAATTGTATTTGTCTCCATTGCTTCCTCTGTGCTCATTCCATACACTGTCCAGTCACAAGTAACTGTTCTCCCAGCCAGTGATGTGAGGTTATTTATATGTCGATTTGCTACTCCTCTTTTGTTACAGATTTTCATTGTCTGCAAGATCTTGATCCTTCATTTTATTGTTGCCTTTTTCAGCAATAGTTATGGTAAATTGTGGATATGAATTTGTGTTTAACCATTGTTTAGAAATTGCTTTCATATGAAATGAGTATTGAGACATAAGACAATGCAGAGACCATCTGTTACTGATTATGCAGCTTCATGATGTGCTTGATATCTAAAAGAAATGACTAACTAACTGAAGGTCCATATTTCCGCACATTATTTTAAGGTAACAAAATTTTGTCATAAACCTCATGAACAGTAAAACTGCCATTTTCAAGATTAGGTAACAAGCTACTACATTACAGATTTGTTCCAAATCCTAAAGGTGTATCTTCAAATCAAATTAAGGACCCAGGCGAAAAGCTTGCATCTTTCTAACATTAAGTTCTTAATCATAAGTAAATTTGTTAAGGATATTTTCCTGTATATTTATTATTTTCAATCCTAGTTATGTTTCTTGAGTTGAGCTCGTTCTAACCCCTTTGTTAGATTAATATAGCAAATATTATTTTCGTTCAATATTTGGTCTTGAGTCTAATGCAAGAAGGAACAAGCTATCTGTGGAGGCATGGGCAGGTGCTGGTGTGGTGATTTCAAATGATCATGATCTAGCAGTACAAGTAAACATTTCATACTGTGTGAAAGCATTACATGCTTTTTTTTCTGTTGGAACAAAATGCTTCTTGTATGAATGTTCACATTTTCTTTCAGACGCTTAACATCTTTGAAACATTTATCAAACCACTGGAGAAATTCAGAAAGGATCAAATTGGAGCAGCAAAGGTAAAAAAAAACATTCAGAATAAATTACTACAAAAAAGTTCAGTTCTGAAAAGATTACAGTTCTTTTTGCATGTGGACTTTGCCTTAAAAAAAATTCCAAATTCTGCACATTCATAGTTGGTTCAATTAAGGATGCATACTAGCAACAATTATTTCCATTCACATAACTGCTTTTAAATGCTGAAATGTGCTAAGGCTTAGGAGTATTATCAAATCAAACTCAACACCCAACCACAAAGAGATAGTAGGGAATGTGTCCAAAAGCTTCTTCAAATAAAGGCTTAAGGAGAAGGAGAGTTAGAGAAAATCTGAGCTTAGGGCCTTATGCAACTGAAGATAAATGACCAACAATTGTGGATGGTGAAAATTGGCAATGAATATGAAATCCTGTAAGGGGGAAGAGTTGGAGGAGATTGTAAAGATAGGGTGATGCATCTACATTTTAAAATATTGAGCAGCATATTCATTATGCATAAATCCTCGGACCAATGTTTAAGTGACTATTTTATTGTGGTGTTTATATTGTTTGCCAATGAGCAACCTAAAAATTTGCTGGTGTTTTCTCAGTCTCCTGCCATTCTTTGATGAGAGAACTGTGGAACATGCTGAGAAATAGCATGAACTGCAGATTATTCTATTTTCCTGGAGGTTTGACTATTTTTACAATTGTGGACACAACACAGTTGGGAGATTGCTATGTTATCAGAGGTGTTGTCTTCATGAAAATACTACATTTCAAATTGGTCATAGGATATGAACTTCACTGATAAGGCCAGAGCTTATTACCAATCCCTAGTTTCCGTTGAGAAAGTGATGGTGAAACACCTTCTTAAACTGTTGCAATCTGAGTTGTGCATCCACAATGCTGTTAGGGAGGGAAAGTCAGGATCTTGCCCAAGCAACAGTGAATTAATAGAGTTGTAATTCCCAGTTGAGATGTTATGTGGAGGAGAAATTGCAATTTGTGGTGTTCCTGTGTGTCAGTTGCCCATGTCTGATGTCCTTCTAGGTCATCGAAGTTGCACGTTTGGAAGGTGCTTTGCTCGAAGGGACAAGTCGCTGCACTGCTTCTTGTGATGAAGCTATGGCTTCAAGATGTGTATTTTGTCCATTTTTTTAATGGAGGAGGAGAAGTAAAGGAGTAAAGATAAGAATGTTGAAGTTCAATTATCAGAAACTACATTTGATCAAATGTTTGGGAAAACACAAGAACAGGTAGAGGACAACGTGGATATTTTTAGTTTGGAGAAGCTAGCTGAATTAGAACAGAAAGATGAACAGCTAGAGCAGTTGTATCAAAAAGCATACATAAAAGGAGAATCTGAGTGTATCCTAGAATGTCACTAAATTAAAAATTAAAAATTAAGCCTTGATGAGGAAATCGAGATCATGACATATTCCGGCAGATGAAAAATGGACAGAAATTCATCAAGTTGTATTACCAATGAATTATAGAAAAGAGGTATTGTGAGTAGCACATGAATTACCAGTAGGAAGTCATTTGGTAGTAAGGAAAACTTGAGCCAAAATAAAAAAAGACTTTTTTTTGGCCTGGACTACATAAGGATATAGTTGACTTTTGCCAGGCATGTCACGTGTGTCACCTAATAGGAAAACCTCAGACAGTGATGAAACTAGCACTCTTAATATCCATACCCACGTTTGAGGAACCTTGTATAAGAGTTAATTGATTGATTGATTGTTTTTGGGAGAGATCCTACACAAAGAGTGGGAATCAATATTTGTTGATTATAATGGATGTGTCTACTGGATTTCCAGAGGCCATTTCATTGTACAGTATCATGGTTAAAAAGATTGTGGAAGAGTTACTCAATGTTTTTACTAAATACAGACTACCCATAAAAATACAATCTGATCAAGGGTCAAATTTTACATCAAAATTATTCAAGGAAGTTTTGAATGGCTTAGGAATAAAACAATTCAAATTCACGGCATACCATCCAGAATCATAGGGAACATTAGAACAGTGGCATCAAAGTTTAAAAGTCAGGATCCCTGACTTTTGAGGGTTTATAGTCAAGACAATCCACAGGGTAGTCCATTTGTACTTCTTGCAATTAGGGATGCAATTAATTGACTAATTTTTGGGCATGAGGTGAGAGGACCACTGAAATTAATTAAGGAAAAATTGGTAAGCCACATTTCAGAGACTACATGTTTGGACTATGTGTCAAATTTTAGGGAAAGATTAAATAGAGCGGGTGAGTTGGTTAGACAGCATTTAAAAGTGGCACAGCATATGATGAAACAGGAAGCAGACAAGAAATCAAAAATTCACAATTTTGCTGGCGGAGATAAAATGTTACTGTTACGAGTGATAGGTAAACCTTTGAAGGCAAAGTTTAATGGGCCTTATAAATCTGAAAGGAAATTGAGTGAGGTGAATTATTTAATAAGAACACCAGGTAGGAAAAAATCTCAGTGTCGTGAATATGCTCAAATGTATTTTGATAGGGAAGGAAAGCAAAAGGAGAATATTACTGGTTACAACACAGAGTGAAGAACCAAGTTCAAATGATTCTAAATTAGACATTTCTCAAATTAAATTAGATAATGAGAAAGTTCTCAGAAAATAGGATAAATTATTCACTTACTTTCCAGAGGAAATCAATGACCTAAAAGAGTTAATACTATCACGTGGGGAGATATGTGGGAATAAACTGGGAAGTACTAATCAGATTACGCATGATGTAGATATAGGAAATGCTGTTCCAAATGAGCGACATCCTTATAGACTTAACCCTTTAAAGTTGGTACAGGTTCAAAAAGAGATTGAAAGCATGTTCAGAGATGACATAATTGATGTGAGTTGCAGCAAATAGAGCTCACCCATTGTAATGGAGCCAAAACTAGATGGTACCCAACGATTATATGTGGACTACAGCAAAGTCAATGCAGTTACAAAATCTGATTCATATCCTATTCCATATTTGGAAGACTGTTTTGAGAAGGTGGGGCAAGCAACTTATATTTCTAAGTTGGACTTATTCAGAGGATACTGGCAGGTATCTTTATTCGAAACAGTGAAGAAAATTTCAGCTTTCAGGACACCAAATGGATTGTACCAGCTTAAAGTCATGCCATTTGGTATGACAAATGTACCAGCCACATTTCAAAGAGGTTATTTTGAGATTACCCAATTGTGTAATGTACATAGAAAATCTGGTGATTTTTGGTTACACATGGAAGGAACATTTGGAGAATCTAGCAGAATTATTCAATTGACTTCAGGAGGTGGGCTTGTTGATAAACCTGGCTAAGAGCAAGTTTGCAAAATCCCAAATCACGTTTCTGGGCCATGTTGTTGGACATGGACAGATGGCTCCATGGGATGTAAGGACAAAAGTTATGAGGGAATATCCCATACCATCAACGAAAAGGGAAGTTCTATGATTCCTGGGACTGAGTGTTTTTTATTGGAAGTTTGTACTGAATTTTAGCAGGGTGGTTGCTCCATTGACTGACCTTTTTTGAGAAATGCAAAAGACTTCAATGGACAGAATAATGTCAGAAAGCATTTAACTACCTGAAAGTTGCGTTGACTACTGCTCCAACGTTAGCAACACCAACTATACAAAACCATTCAAAGTGGCTATCGATGAGAGTGATGTGGATATTGGTGCTGTACAAGAAGACTTGTGAGAATGGAAAGACCTATCGGGTATTTTGCCAGAAAGTTGAATATTCATCAACAGAAATATTCCACAACTGAGAAGGACACCTTAAGTTTGGTGTTGGGCGTTGCAACGTTTCAGCATTTATGTCACCAGTAATGTATCTGAGACAATTGTATTTACTAATCACAATAACCTGTTGAAGTTTTTGGAAAAATTTAACAATAAAAAAATTCTAGGCTATTTGGATGGAGCTTATTGTTGGTGCCATTCAATTTAAAAGTTATGCACATGGCAGGATATAATTGCTGACAGGTTGTCATGACTTTGAGTGAAGACAAAGTCATTCAGTGCTAGGAGAAATGAACTGAAATGGACTGTGTTTTAGTGAATGTTTGCATGCTAAGAGTCAATGTAATGCATATTTATTGTTGTGTCCTAATAGTATAAGACAAACTGGTTTCAAAAATGAAGTCATCTTCATGTATTGATGATTTTTTTTTAAGGCGGAAGGTTGACCATACTTTGGCTTTAAGAGGTGTATTTTGTCCCTTTTTTTTTAACGAAGAAGTTGAGACAGAGGTGCAGAGTGATCTGTTCCAAACCAATAAAGTAAACAGTCTGTGAGGCCTTGGTTTTTTTTAAGTTGGGACAGTAGAAGCAGCTTGAATGGATGGGATCAAGCTCCCACAGAACCAAGATTTTAGTCTAGCTTTTAGTAGCTATTGGGGCTTGGAAGCTGCTGTACATCTATCCTTGCTATAGCATAATGCTGGAGTTCTCTCTCTCTCTTTGCCAGAATTTTCTCTTGATTTTCTTTCCTCCTGGACTGGAGAAACATTGCTGTGAGACAGTCTATTTTAATGAATTTGACGTTGCCAAGGGTCTGTTTATGGGATGTGACTATCTTGGAACAGCTAATCAGTAGTAGTTAACATATATTATCTTGTTAAGCATTACGATAGAGTTACAGTTAAGCTAATTCCATTTTTTAAAATTCTTGTCTGTATTTTAACTATAGTGTAAAGATAAAGTACATTTTGCTTCAAACCTGGTATTTTGACCATTGAATTGCATCTGGAACACTGTACACTTGTCTGTAAAATAAGAAAAAGTTGGAGTCTAAGCTGAATTCTTAATATGTTATGTGGGGGTTTTGTCTGGTCCATTACAATCTCGTAGATAGTAGATATTGTTGCTGCTGTTCTTAAGTGGTGAAGGGAGTGAATGTTGAAAGTTTTATTTAGAAATTAATTCAGGGGATGTAGTTGTGGCTGACTGGCCAATATTTATTGCACTTGACTTATTGCCCTTGAGAAATTGGGGGTGAGCTCCTTTCTTGAATTGCTGCACTCAACATGCTGT